AGGTAAGGCACCTGGTCGATCCTGGTCTGCGACCCACTTACAGACGCTGGCGTTCTCCTCGATCTCGCCATCTGCTCTCCGCCGCTGGAGCCCTGTCCGACTCCGAGTCAGAGGCCGGCTCCATTCGGCGTTGCATCTCCGGTAATCGGCGGACAGCTTCGTCCAGCACAGGCGCCAGTAACTGCACAGACGCGGGAGACAACTGTCGCCACAGTCGTTCCAGGAGTCTGCACAAGAGCCGGAGTTGTGGTCGGTAGGTCAGCTCTTCGGGTAACTTTGCTATTCAGGAATGAGCACGAACTCTCAAGTTCGTATCAACGTACAGTACGGCTCAGAATTAGCGCAAAGTGCCGACATTTGCGAAGGATTGATACACATTCACTAATCGGCATTGAGAAAGGTTGTATTACTGATTATCGTGTAGCCTATTCCCAAGTCATTTCAAGCACGATATGATGCTGGCTTTTTAACGAGCCTCTATCTGACCGCTAACAAGAAGCATGTACTGTTAACATGGCTACTTTAGTAGTATGCATTTTATCATTGATTTTGACTGTCTTTGTAAATTCAAATATATGTTATGGAAAACATGCATGAAAAATTCTTTCTTGTACTCGTTTGGTAGCAAATCACGCCTTCTTTAGATTTTGTGCTTCAAGAAAAGGTATTCTTTGGTTTAGGAAATACTTCTAATTATTGGACTTTTATGATTGTGAGGTTTTCATTCATAATACATCCTATCCGACAATTTTTTGATGAGAAGTCGTATTGACGAACTATTTTTTTCAGACATTCATCATCAGCCCGATACAAAGACATGGAGAATAACAACGGTCGGTTAATTGCAATGTTTATATGATCGTTAGGTTTGGAGGGGTAGTGGGTGTACTTAAATTTCTAATGCTGCCAATAATGTATACAGCATGATCCACATCTATTGCACCATTTTGTGAGAACTATGTGACTTCTTCCTCAAACTGTAGGCAAAAACATGCTTTTTCTTAAACAAGATGTACACAGCGCGCAGATTGTAAATCTTGAATTCAGGTGTAGCAGTCAGTAGGTTTCAAAATTCTTCACCAATTAAGAGTCTTTTTTAAAACCGAAAGACACTTTATTTAAGTAAAGATTTAAAAAGGCTTTATTTGCTACCAAAGGAGTACAAGAAAGAATATATTCGCGTGTGTTTCACATATAATGTATTTGAATTTATAAGGACAGTCCAAATCAATGATTAAAATGCATTCTGCTTAAGTAGGCACTTTTACATCACATGCTTTTTGTTAACGCTCAGAAGGAAGCTCGTTAAAAAGCTGGCATCGTATCGTGACCGAAATGACTCGAGAATAGACTACAAGATAATCAGTATTACAAACTTTTTCAACACCGATTAGCGAGTGAGTGTCAATCTTTCGCAAATGTTGGCATGTTGCATTAATCCTGAACTGTACTGTACTGTGGATTGAAGTCGCAAGTCAGACCTAGCTAGGTAGTACTGTATTGTGTAGCTTTGACAGCCCTAAACCAGGTTGCTGTCTTAGGTGTACCTGTGATGTCAGTTGCCGAAAAAGGTGTTAAGCTCGTGAATTTGTGGTGATCGTACACAACCATTTTCTTGTAAGTATCTAGTTGTAACATGAAATTCCCTCGCGAATCTACCCACGCAGTTGACGATAAACGTTAACCATTACGCCAGATGAAAACCCGACTTATCGTACACTATTGCAAAGATTTCAATTTTTATTATTTGTCAAAGGGCAAGCTTGAGATATTGATGTAGTCGGTCTACCACTTGTCATTCAGATAGTTTGTTGGTGGTGTACAGGCTGTTAGTCGGTGGAGCGAGTTGCCTGTTTAACTCGGTTAAAAAACGAGAGTTGTAAATATGTATCGTGATTATTATGATTCTCCAACAAGACAGTTCGTCTGCATGTGATAAAATTTGCAAATTCTTAGCTTAAAGCACGAAAAAAACACCAATTCGTGTCCCTTGTCGTCTATTTTGCAGTTACTGTGCACTTCACTTTTTTTCCATAATTTCAGAAATGCAAAGATTCCCCTCCAAGGTAAGTTGTCCCGGTCTATTTTAATGGAGTTAGTAGGCGATTCCTCCCACTCTTTAAATTTTACAAATGCAAGTCTTGTTCTGCCTTCTACTTACATACACTCCACCCACTTTTGCCTGAACCATCTCTACTAAACGACTCAACAACCATACAAATTAGTGTCTCCTGCCATCTGAGGTGTTCTAGCAAACAGCATGGGTGAGAATTGGGGCTGCTTCGGAAATAATCACATTTGCGTTGGAAACGCATTTGTGACGTCTTGTTGAATTCGCGTTTACTTTAAAAGAACACGTGCTTGAAACTCTTTCTAAGATCCAACGGTTGTTATCCATAATGCCGCCGCCATGCTGTTTCCTCCACATATCAAGTTTTGTCGAGACTGCGTGCTGTTACCGGTCTCCTATAACATTCCCATAGGGTCAGTTGTGGGTACTATACTGCAAGACTGGCAGATTTAAAATTGGCACGCACACGGTGCATCAGGGACCTTTTCGCTGTAACACGATTCCTTCCCGTCAAATTGGCTATATTTTCTCACCTATAAGTCTTGCTTCAACCTGAAACTAAACGAAAAATATTATAGCAACCAAAAAAATTGGGGTAAAATATTAACTTCACTCCTAAACCATGGCATCTGTCGAATATCTACCCCGCAGACAACCGTGGCGATGTTTATTTACTGATACAGTAGTAGTCGTTCGGATGATAGTCGACAAAGATGAGCACCAGTACGTTTCTCCTAACAAGTAGCGATGTTCAAATAAGTTCCCAAAAGTGTTCTCTTAAGGTGGCTGCCGTTAGTACCGATCTCGACGGTGAAATACTATTTTAAAAATGTAAGGAAGGATGGAATAATGCCTTTTTGCTATACAGGTCTGGGAAGTTATGTTTCGGCACGGATTTGCGATCCTAGAACCCTCAGCGTCAGGCTCATGAAGACCGGTAACCACTAATCGATAAGCATTAGCGGTAAATAATCGGAATTTCCATTTCTGCCGTATTTTCAGTCACCAGTCAGCCATACCCAAGGTCTGGGGATTATGTACATGCAATTTGAGCGGACTCATTTGGTAAGCAAGCATTAGTACATCAAACGCTTTCTTGGGCTACGGGTCCACATCCCATTGGCTGTGATCGACAATGCGCACACCAAGGGGTCTTAACCGGCCTATCTTAATATCTGGACGGGCTATATGTGCCTGACACCTTTGCACTTATTCTTAGTTTCTTAGGTTCTCAAATGTCTGAGTCAACTGATCGAGTGTCCAGTCCTTAATACAATTGGTGATTTCCTATTGTCCCTGTTTTTTCTTCCCTTTAGAATCAAATTCCTGCAGTCACAACCGTTCTCGAAACCGCTCTCTTCAGATGGATGACGAATTGAGCGATATGGACCGCCGGCTGAATGTCTTGCAGAATTTCTTTGACAACTATTTTGTTGCAGGTGTCTAGTTACGGGCGCAGACGCCGCACACAAAAGAGACAATGCATTTATGCTGCCTCCAAAGCCGTAACTAGCGTATATCACAGTCTTGCCTCGCTATTCTACGTCCCTGGCCACTTGATGCTCCCT